CTGCCGCCATATAGCTGGAAAATTGCAGAGTGTGGCGTTAGTCAATAACAACACCACAAAAAAGTGAAGGAACGATTTTGTTGACTATCTTGAGCAATTCCTGAGCCTTGAGGCTCATCTCCTCTCTATCAGTGACTGTGTAAAGTATGCCATCTGACAACTCACGACTTAGTATGTAGATGGTTCTTAATGGTTTGAAAGACAGATCTTTATGTCAAACTCATGTTGGAAGACAAAATTGGTATCCATTATGATTTCACAAGGGTCAATTCCAACAAACAGGCACACATATATGTTCCATATATCATCTATAAATGCATATATACCATTAAAACAACTAGGGGTATTCCATTTTGCAAGCATACTACTAGCCAATGCCAATGCATATGGGAAAACGTAATGTATATCCATACAGATGAAACATTTCCAAAGGAATGGAATAAATTGTCACATTTTCCCTTAATTTCTCTTCATCATCCGTCTCCTCTTTGGCTTCATCATTTGAATTTTATCAATCTCGTAAATCCAATATCCCCTACTTTATTAATGGTATATATCGTATGGCGTTCTGTAGTAGCGGTGGTGATTATTTTGCAGGATTGTGCGATTCCCGTGAAGATTGTATATTTGTCATCCACGCGGAGACACCTACCATCATTGAGGACAACTCGGGCAGGGAATATTGACAACCTGTAGGTCATGGCCAGTTCAGACCCGGACAGGGAAGCCATGGGTGGTTCAGGCGAAGCCCTGGGTGGTTCAGGCGAGGAAGATCCTACGGTCCATGGCGGTTCAGATCTACACGAGGAGGATCCTGGAAACCACTCGGCCATTGCCAGGCTGACTGATCGTGGACGTTTCTCTGAAGATCATTCGGCCATTGCCACGCAAAGGAGTCAGCCTTTCCTGTCCAATCCAGGGCGTGGTACGTGTGCAGTTTTTTTTCTTCACTCTACCTTAGCGTCACATAGGTCTTACAAGCGCTGTGTACTCCATTAATCATTCATTGCTCTGCTATATATATTTTACAGTTGTACTATAGACTTTACGACACATGCTTTAGAGAACCTTGGTGTGTATAACAAATGAGAGGCTATTTCCTGTACTTTCGAAGAGCACCGGTGAAAATCCGGGTTAGAATTGATCTTCAGAAAACTTGCTTGTCGTATGAGGCTACTAACGGGATCGGGTGGTCAGACTCGCTGACTTGGTTGACACATGCCTTTATATCCCAATTACGTCGATCGATGCTCATGCTGTTAATCACTGGATTGTCTGGTCCAGGCTCGATTATTTACAGACCATCGTCATATAGCTAGAATATTGTTGAGTGCGGCATGAAACGTAACTCACTAACCTTCGTTAGAGCCTACAAATATTCCAGATTTCATGATATAGAACACGGACTTATTGCAAATCCCAATAATTGGTAAATGCAAAATGGAGCCCACTATGACTTAACAGGTTGCTTGGTATCAAACAGTCAGTAATCGTACAATATTTAAAGGGCACATATATAAATCTTTTTTTAACTTGTCATATAAGGTTAACACATTCTGCAAACTGAATGGAACATATAACAGTGGGTATTAATTGGTGGTGTCAGAGACATTTATACAGAGACATTTGGCCTGATCATTGAGCAGACTTTACATGGCATCTTGCTGCTCTTGGTTATTGATTTGCACCAGTGACTTACAGGAAGAGACTGACACTAACGTGGTCCAGTTTGAAGCATACACTCAAATACTAATAAAAACAACTGCAGCTCTCTTTATATTGTATTAACGGAGCTGGTTGTTGAACATTAGCATGGATATGTTGCCAGGTGGTTCTGCCTCCGCTATCAATGTTTCCAACTCGAAGTACGTTAATATTTCCACTGGACAGACAGTTCCCGGGACAGTCGGAGATGGTGAGTTAACAGCAGACCAAGCCAAGCCTTGATTACACACTTGCAAACTTTCAATGAAAATTCTTGACAAATAAATGTTAAAACAATCAAAATACCCAGATGGGACTCAGGTAGAATATGTGCCTTCGGCATGCTATTACTAGTCATAGAGGCAGATAGCTGGAATATTGCTGAGTGCGGCGTAAAACTAAACTCACTCACTCACTCACAGAGGCAGACCCATGAGAAACTGTGAAACTGAATGAATAAGAACTTCATCCTATGCATTCTGTAAGAGGCAGTTAAATGGTTGTGCTCATTTCGACTTACCTGACAGCGTTGTTTGTAACTCATCACAAGTATTTACTTACAGACTGTCGTTATACAGCTTGACTATTTTTAACTGTGACATTAAACATCCCGCACAAAGAGAATTGTCAAAGCATCTGTATAACTCTGGTGATAAGGGTATCTCAAATACCACTTATGTTTTGCAGTCAGAACATAGTAGTAAAGGCAAAATGCAAAATATTTCGATAAGTTACAAAATATTAAAGATCCAGAAAATGACTATTTGACAACCATTTCTTATCATACATTGATATTCATGATGTTTTGCCCATAAATTAGACGGCGCTATTTTGCACTCATCACGTCACAATCTTAAGTAGGCCTGATTATGGTTAAATTGTATGTGTATTTTAGTTTACATTAATTACCCACGTTAACGACTTCAACATCAGTATATTTAATCACGTCGATGTGTCCTAAGCACAACACATGTATGTTTATACAATGTCGTATTTGTCCACAGGTACTCTCGAACTTCTTCTAAATGAAGCCAAGGACACATTTGTTGAAACAGATGTCTACAGACAGGTGAAGCGTAAACTTGAAACGTTTGGTTACGTGACAATCTGTGGTGCCTCAGGAGAAGGGAAGACCACAATGGCTCTGATATTGAGTTCACAGTACAGAAACCGAGGTTACCAGGTCGTGTTTGTGGACAGCATTGACAAGTTTGATTTGGACATCTGCCTCAGTTCTACTCCAAGAGTATTTCTCATCATTGATGACATGTTTGGTACTGTAGGCTTGTCCACTAATGTGCTACTGATTAAATCATTTCTTAAAAATCTTCTTCTCCATTTAGAAAACTGTAAGCAGGCCCTGAAACAAATTCAGTCAGTTAGGAAAGAGGAAAGTAAACACAAGCAGGATGATGAAAGAAAAAGTCAAAGAAAGGATATTCGTGTCATATTCACAACAAAGTCATACAACTTTCATGGCGGACTTGCACAACTGCACTTTGTTTGTTTTCCTCTGTTTGAGGAACAAGCAGTGATGAATATAACCTTACACAGTCTTTCCCCAGCAGAGGAACAGCACATATATGAGAGACATAAGAACATACCAGATGACTGTTCCAAAGGTAATCTACCCGAATACAGTGATTTGGAAATACCTTCAAAATTATTTGGATTCCCGCTCATATGTAAACTTTGTACTTTTTCAAACAATCCTAGAAAGCTTTTCAAAGAACCATTGTCTTATTTGAGAGGGGAACTCACTGTCATAATTGGTGCTATGAATGATCGATCTGCAGTGTTTGTCCTGATGTTACTTTGTGAAGGCAGATTACAACTGACAAAGTTAGAAAGTGATGATGCAGACCAGGAGTTGGATGAGAAAGTCAACATTGTGATACGTCTAATACCTACAGCAACACGCTCTGGGATGTGTCAAGCAGCACGTAGTTTCAGAGGTACATTTTTCACAAGAGGAGACACTGTTGCCTTTGCTCATTCTTCAATCTATGATGCATGTGCATGTGTTTTATATAATAGCATCAATCCAAGCTTTGTTTTGAAGAACTGCAGTGATGCTTTTCTGTATGAGCGAGTACTCCAAGAAACCGTCATAGAAACCAAAGTTGATGATAATCTTCATTTTATTTTCATTTCCGAAGACTATTATGATCTTCTGTCCACACGGTTTGCAAATGCTATTAAGCAAGGACAGTTTTCAAAGTCAGTAACACATCCAATCCTCAAGCACAGCAATCTAGCTGAACAGCTTCTTAAAAGACTGACATTTGGTGAGACGAAACACAACACAAATGATTCAGTGGAGCATGATTGGATTCACCAAAGAGAAAAAGGAAAGTGTTTCTTGTATTGGGCTGTTCTGGGACATAATCCACAGTTGGTTACACATGTGGAGACTCAAACTGGAGAAGTGTTCACAGATGACGAGATCACAGAAGCTATGGAAGGCTGTGCTCAAACAAACAAGGTGACGTTACTGCAATGGCTACTCTCAAAGACTGATGGACAGGATTGGACTAATAAACTGGACAGACTGCTGTTGTCTGCAGCAGAAAATGGCAGTACTGAAACACTTTTGTATCTTCTGAAAGCTGGAGCCAGTCTCCATACCTCTGACTCCAGGATGCAAAACATTTTCCATTTGGTGTGTAAGTCACAACACGAAGACACACTTCGGGCACTGTTAAATACACAGTCAAATACAGATATTTTAAACAGGGTTGATGTGAATGGCTACACTCCTCTACTGGTTGCAGCAAAAACAGGATCAGAGGAATGTTTCAAACAGCTGGTATCGATCTCAAATATGGATGTTCAGGGCATGGATGGAAATTGTGTTTTACATCTTGCTTGTCAAAGAGGAAACATTGCCATTGTTAGGCAACTGCTACCTTCAGTCAGCATTGACAAAAGAGGCATGGATAGCCGGACACCAATCATGTTGGCAGCACTCAAGGGACACAAAAGGTGTTTGACTTCCTGGAATCAAAGGGGCGGACCTGTCTATGCTTGATACATTTGATGATAGTGTACTTCACCTTGCCTGTGAGGGAGGAAACATGACTTTGGTTGAACATCTGGTATCAGATTCTAATATCAACCTCAAAGGCGGTAATGGATGGACACCAATCATGGCTGCAGCTGTCAATGGACACAAAAAGCGTGTTTGACTTCCTGGAATCAAAGGGGCAGACCTCTCTATGCTTGATACATTGGGTGATAGTGTACTTCACCTTGCCTGTGAGGGAGGAAACATGGCTTTGGTTGAACATCTGGTATCAGATTCTAATATCAACCTCAAAGGCGATAATGGAATGACACCAATCATGGCTGCAGCTCTCGATGGACACAAAAGTGTGTTTGACTTCCTAGAATCAAAGGGGCAGACCTCTCTATGCTTGATACATCTGGTGATAGTGTACTTCACCTTCCTGTGAGGGAGGAAACATGGCTTTGGTTGAACACCTGGTATCAGATTCTAATATCAACCTCAAAGGCGGTAATGGGAGGACACCAATCATGGCTGCAGCTTTCGAAGGACACAAAAGCGTGTTTGACTTCCTAGAATCAAAGGGGCAGACCTCTCTATGCTTGATACATTTGGTGGTAGTGTACTTCACCTTGCCTGTGAGGGAGGAAGCATGGCTTTGGTTGAACATCTGTTTTCAGATTTTAATATCAACCTCAAAGGCGGTAAGGGAAGGACACCAATCATGGCTGCAGCTTTCGATGGACACAAAAGCGTGTTTGACTTCCTGGAATCAAAGGGGCAGACATCTTTATGCTTGATACATCTGGTGATAGTTTACTTCACCTTGCCTGTGAGGGAGGCAACATGGCTTTGGTTGAACATCTGGTATCAGATTCTAATATCAACCTCAAAGGCGGAAATGGAAGGACACCAATCATGGCTGCAGCTTTCGATGGACACAAAAGTGTGTTTGACTTCCTGGAATCAAAGGGGCAGACATCTTTATGCTTGATACATTTGGTGATAGTGTACTTCACCTTGCCTGTCAGGGAGGAAACATGGCTTTGGTTGAACATCTGGTATCAGATTCTAATATCAACCTCAAAGGCGATAATGGAATGACACCAATCATGGCTGCAGCTCTCAATGGACACAAAAGCGTGTTTGATCTCCTGGAATCAAAGGGAGCTGACCTCACTCTGCTTGATACATTTGGTGATAGTATACTTCACCTTTCCTGTCAGGGAGGAAACATGGCTTTGGTTGAACATCTGTTTTCAGATTCTAATATCAACCTCAAAGGCGGTAATGGAAGGACACCAATCATGGCTGCAGCTTTCGATGGACACAAAAGTGTGTTTGACTTCCTAGAATCAAAGGGGCAGACCTCTCTATGCTTGATACATCTGGTGATAGTGTACTTCACCTTGCCTGTGAGGGAGGAAACATGGCTTTGGTTGAACATCTGTTTTCAGATTCTAATATCAACCTCAAAGGCGGTAATGGAAGGACACCAATCATGGCTGCAGCTTTCGATGGACACAAAAGAGTGTTTGACTTCCTGGAATCAAAGGGGGCAGACCTCTCTATGCTTGATACATTTGGTGATAGTGTACTTCACCTTGCCTGTGAGGGAGAAAACATGGCTTTGGTTGAACATCTGGTATCAGATTCTAATATCAACCTCAAAGGCGGTAAGGGAAGGACACCAATCATGGCTGCAGCCTTAAGTGAACACAAAAGCGTGTTTGACTTCCTAGAATCAAAGGGGCAGACCCCACTCTGCTTGATACATTTGGTGATAGTTTACTTCACCTTGCCTGTCAGGGAGGAAACATGGCTTTGGTTGAACATCTGGTATCAGATTCTAATATCAACCTCAAAGGCGGTAAGGGAAGGACACCAATCATGGCTGCAGCCTTTAGTGGACACAAAAGTGTGTTTGACTTCCTGGAATCAAAGGGGCAGACCTCTCTATGCTTGATACATTTGGTGATAGTGTACTTCACCTTGCCTGTGAGGGAGGCAGCATAGCTTTGGTTGAACATCTGGTGTCAGATTCTAATATCAACCTCAAAGGCGGTAAGGGAAGGACACCAATCATGGTTGCGGCTTTCAATGGACACAAAAGTGTGTTTGATCTCCTGGAATCAAAGGGTGCTGACCTCACTCTGCTTGATGCATTTGGTGATAGTGTGCTCAATTGTGCACGTCAAGGAGGGGACATGGTTATTGTACAACATCTTGTGTAAGATTACCCGTTGAATAGAAACTAAAAAGTTGCTGTCTTACCAACAATCAGAGAAACGATCTGTAGATGAGGCAAAATACATTCTACACAAGAGTAGCATAGGCTTTTAATGTTGATTGGAACTCTCTGGAAAACAAATTTTAGTGTAGTGTGTAACCATTGTATAAAGATTTTATGAATATACGTTCTGAGCCTGTTACAATAGCAGTGTGATAATGATGTACAAAAGAAGTGTCATGACACACCCACCTACATATTGATTAAGGTACCTGGTTTTAAATTAACTATATTATCACAAAAGCTATCATGGAGAAAAAAGACTGTATAGTAAGTCATATTGGGTCAAACATGCTGGTATTTTCATCTCAGGAATAAATACTATCTGGTTGGCGGATTATTTGTATATGAACACTACTCTAGTGCCATACATTACACATATTTTTGGGAGGGATGTTGTATCAGCATGGGGTTTGTATCTATCCAAATGCTATGAAAAGATTACAAATATTTCTGACATAAAGACTCAATTATTATGGTACAACTCTAATATCTCTGGCAAATGGGTAGAATATAGTCACTGGATAGGAAAGGGTATATGTTTTATTAAGGATATGTTTAATGAAAATGGTGAAATTTATTCTTTTAACAAACTTGTAGAACCATACAGTTTAGAAACAAATTTTATCTTATATCAAGGGATAAAGTCAACAGTAGTGAGATATATTAAAAGATATATATAATTAATTAATGATTACCAAGAAAGGATATATGACCCTACTCTCCCATTTAATGTATACAACATAATCAATATACAAAAGGGTAGTTAAGTGTTTTATCAGATTTTACTTGCTCCAGAATTCAGTACAGATGCACAAGAAAAACGTGAAAAGTGTTTGAATAGAAAATTGATAGATCAGAACAAGAAAATATTAATCTGATGTCTTATAGATGTACTGAGACTATGAATATGAGATGGTTCCAATCTAAAATAATATTTTAGCAACAAATAGCTTTTGTACATGATAGGAATATCATTCTGTGGACAAGATCCAGAGGCCATGATGCACCTGCTGCTTTGAATGCTTTTATGTGAAAAGATATGGCTTAAAACTGCTTCGGGAGGTGAAGTTAATTTTTCACTGGAGAATATTTTATTTGGATTCAAAGCCAAACACAATAATCCACTGAATGCTGTAAATTTGGTGGTAAAAGAAGCTATTCACAGAAAATGCAGAAAAAGGCAAACTCTGAATATTAGATATATTAAAGCAGAAATAACTAAATATTATGAAGAAACAAAATGATAGTTTTTTCTAATTGCATTAATGCCAAATTCTTCAGCTTCTGGTCCTCCTTCCAAACTTTATTTGCCAATAATTAAACTTTTATCAGCAGACTTGTACGGCACGCAACACTTCCTATACACGATTAGTTTGACCATTTTACATATCTGTGAACAGCATGATATTTGACAATGTGATCAACGAAACACTGTACTTGTGTAGTATGAAGCTACCTATACTGTACTTATGTACTATGAAGCTACCTGTATATGTACTATGAAGCTACCTATACTGTACTTTACTATGAAGCTACCTTACTATACTTATGTACTTATGAACTACCTATACTATGTACTTATGTACTATGAAGCTACCTATACTGTACTTATGTACTTATGAATGCTACCTATATTGTACTATACTATGTACCTTATGTACTTATGTACTATGAAGCTACCTATACTGTACTTATGTACTATGAAACTACCTATATACTTATGTGAACTTATATGTACTATGAAACTACCTATACTGTATTTATGTACTATGAAACTACCTATACTGTACTTATGTACTATGAATCTACCTATACTGTACTTTATGTACTATGAATCTACCTATACTGTACTTATTGATATGAAACTACCTATACTGTACTTATGTACTATGAAACACCTATACTGTATTTACGCATTATCAAGTTACCTGGAAACCATTCTCTACGTAACCATATGTTAAGCGTGCAGGATAGGATCTGAGAGACAAGAAACAAACGCGTACTATTTGGTGCGCAAAATGTGTCTTACGGGAAATATCTTCAGATTTCACAAACTTCTGATGTCACCGCTGATATTGTGTGATCAACTTTACCTTTTACGACTGATGGAGTTATCTATGATAACCCAGACTGATTATTCTCTGGTGCTGACGTTATATATTTCATTTGTTATTACAATTACTACGAACCTGTGCTTGATGCAGGAGATAGCTCACGAAAACAAGGTTGATAGTGGAGACCTTGATTTGGTGGCGGACATGCCAACTTCAGAGACTTGAAGCCGACAGCGTGTGGTGGACACCGACTTTGTGGTTCAGTGAATGTGTACATAGTGATTCTACTGAACTGTTGTTGGAGATGAGCATGTGTTCTTCCAGAGACTGTTTAGCTTATGTTGCATATAAGTGAATGTTGTCAACGTGTTTTTGCTCAGAGGCCATATTCCGATATATGGTCACGGGTTTACTAAACTAATGCTGCATTTTGTTGAATGCTTACAAAGTATATCAGTGAAGTGATATTGCGTCTAAGTGAAGGCTTTCAAAGGGTATTTACTGGTCTGATGTTTTAGTGATAGGATGCTGCTTGGAATGTATTTCTGTTAAGGCAAAACTATTGAGTTTTTATTGATGTAGCCTAATTATTATACATTGTGATCTGTACTTTTCAGAAATGGGTTGTAACTTGTTTTACAGTATGCTATCTTTGCATAAATAAATAGATTTAAAATGTTGTTTGTATTTTCTAAGCATCGAACTCTCAGATCTTATATTTCATTTGTGACACAATTTGTATAATGTTATATACTCTTAAAAAAAGAAAGAAAAAAGACGTTTAGGAGCAGAACCTTATACTTAACACAAACAAAGAAAACACGTGTTCCTTGCAATTCTCCTTGCATGCTGGTAGGAGTCATTCTAGATTTTGGACGTCGGTACCCAGCAAGAGGTAGCCAATATATTTAACAGGTGTCAGTCTGTGATTTGTAGACTTTTTCACACATTTCTGCAGACAAAAATGTTCTTGAATAGGCCTGCTCAGTTAGTGTTAGGCCTGCAACACAGGTTCAGCATAGATTTATTAGAAACGAGGGTGTAAAGGGACAGTACGTCGACGGTTCTGTGCAAAGAGCATCAAAACGTACATATTTTGTCCGTCTGTTAATGTTTCTGAAAAATGTGTACTAATCTCAAAGCCTTGATTCCAATATCAATATGCCCCCATTATATGAAGCCAATCACCCTCCTACCCAGATGTCTTTGTGCCGCAGTCACAACGTCACGTCTTTAAATTCAATTCAAGTGTTCTTCGTTTCATTTTGGACGACAAACACATGCTATGATATTTGTACCATTCTTTAGAAAGTAACAAGTAAACAGAGGAAAATGGAAGAGCAATCTCCTCATTGTGAGATCTGGGTAACGCTAATTGCTCTTTCCCCGTGTTGGCAGAATATTTAGGTCCTCAACACCAACATTGCTGCTCGTTAAAAGTGACCGAATTGGGCAACCTGTGTACCATGGGTTGCGTCCCTGTGTCGGTGGAGGACGGGATTCTGGTCGTTGAGGGCACTGGTTCCACGTACAGTGTTCCTTTGCCCAATAGAC